TTTATTTTGAAAATTTCCAACATTAGCAATGAAAATGCGTGCTTTCAGTTACTTTGAGGAAATACAGGCATCACATCCGGAAGAGAAAGAAGGATATTTTTTCCGGACTTTTAGTACAAGACTTATAATTAACAGGTACAAAACCTTGAAAACCCAAAATATTGTCAATAATTTTATTAAAAATGCTATTTTTTGATTTCTGTTCACGGAGCTAAAAATCAACTTCCGGTAATGGAATGAAAATCATTCAACCGTTAAATAACTGATTTGGCAAAGTAAAAGATGTCCTAACTTTCTTGGTACATAGTTATATCCCGTATATAATTTTCACCCCTAAAATTAGGGTGTTGCGTTTCTATTGACGGTGAGTATATTTTACTTTGAATAATGAGTTATATGGCGCAACATTGAATCAAAATCGGTGTAATGGTGATCAAGCGTAGAAATTTTATGCATAAATGCCTTCATCACGCAAGCTAATCGCTTAATCACACCATCAAATAAAAAAGACGGTTATTCCTCAATTGACAGCTTAATAATATAGTGATATACTTATGAATTTAATCGTATGTTTACTCTTTACTGAGAAAAGTAACAATTGTATAAAATACCAAATACTACAATTTTAGTGCTACTGGAGATTCTAAAAAGACATTGAGAACACGATCAAAGAATGGCTAAAGTATGCCAAGGACAGGGATGGGAGAGGAAGAAACGGACAAAGAAGAAAAGAAGGGGAGGAGGAGACTCTGGAGAGAGAAGAGGAGACTTAGGAGAGGGATCAGATTGAACGCGGCAGTGTCTAACTTTTTCCTGTCTGGGGTGTGACATACCTGTAGTTCTCTCCTTTTATGTGTCTGTTTGTCGATTACAAACATGATGCAGATGTCAGATACATTTTTTTGTGTAAGTAAACAAAATTGCAGGATTCATTTTAGTATTATTTTATGAAAAGGAGGTCTTTTTTTATTTTTTAGACGTGCTTATTGATATCTGCAATTTACTGAACTTGTGCATAAATTTACATCAGAAAGGGAGTATACAATCATTTAACCCTACATGTATCACTTCAAGTGAGCATCAACTTTTTCTTCTTTATTAATGTTTTCTTCATGCTTTGAGCAATAAAATATTAGTATGTTATAATTTAATTTAATAATATGATTTCTTTTTCCTCAGTTTTTTAATTAATGTAGAGCTACTTACAATGCAATACTTGTTGATGGTAATTCTTTGAAATATTGTGAATATGTATTAAACTATTAATCTAGCATATATAGTATTAAAGTGCTTTTACCATTAAACTGTACTACAAAAAATAAGATAACCTTATATAGTTTGTTATTACATTTTGAGGACAAATGGCCAGCCAGTGAAGAGCAAATGAGTTGTCCTGATGGAGAGTCAATAAGATACAAACCAATGTGGTCCAAAAATGGTGTTTGCCTCATATTGAAAAAATAAGTGGCCCAACAATGGCTCAATAATATCCGTTCGTTGGTCCAACAATAGGCCAACAAGTTGGTCTGATTAAGGGCCGATGAGCAAATTACCGTTGGCCCATCATTAATTGCTTACAATGGCCCGACTGTACAAAAATGACGTTTGCCCAACACTGAAACAATACATCGGCCCAACAGTGGTCCAATATTAACTGTTACATTTGCCCAACAATAAGCCAACAAGTTGATTTGATTAAGGGCCGATGAGCAAATTACCGTTGGCCCAACATTAATTGCTTACAATGGCCCAACTGTACAAAAATAGACGTTTGCCCAATATTAAAAGAATAATATGGCCCAACAGTGGCCCAATATTAACTGTTACATTGGCCCAACAATAAGCCCACAAGTTGGATTGATTGAGGGCCGATGAGCAAATTACCGATGGCCCAGTGTTGAGTGCAAACGGTGGCCCAACATAAGGAGCATTGTTGGCCCAACAAAGGTCCAATGACATCCTGCTATCTGGGACAAGGAGCGCTGATAAATTTCTGAATCAGTACTACTCTCTTGAAACAAATCACTACTTCTAGACTGTTTAAGCTAAGAGAAACCCTATTGCTCTTTATTTGAAAAATAAATATAATCTAAAAATTACAGAGATATCTCCCATTTTAGAGAGATATAAAAAAAAAAATAGAGACATGAACTGAAAGAGATACCAAAGCGTATCTATCAACTTAAAGAAATATCTCTTATACTTTTCTAAGAGAGCTATCTCTTTTACTATGAGAAATATTTCCTCTGCTTAAAGTTATATGTCTTTCAGGGGGGTAGAGAGATGTCTCTTTAAACTAGTGATATATCTCTTTTGCTTTTTAAGATGTCTTTCCAAAAAGGCGATATCTTTCAAAGTAAAAGAGATATCTCTCTTAAGTTTAAAGTGAAAGAGATATCTTTTAGAAACGTCCAAAAAAAAAAAAAAAAAAAAAAAAACTGGTATCTTTCAAGCAAAAAGAGATATATCTTTTCATTACCTTATTATTTTTATGCAATTTTCATTTTTATTTTCTCTGTTTACCGAAAGTATGCTTTTTTATTCACGTAACTAAATTAAAGTGTCCTTAAAATTCGACCTATTCTACATATTAACTTAATTAAATATGACAAGTAATTAAGTGTTTTCTAGATTTCAAATTACAATGTTGTAGGTGTTGAATTATTTCATAAGCTGAGATATTCGATTGCAATTGAGAATATATTCTTCATTCGTTTTCTTGAATATAAAGCTTTGTGTCACTACATTTTGAAAAAAAATTTACGTACTTTTAAAAAAAATTCAAAGTGCGTTAAAACTGGGACAAAATCAATGCACTTTGATATACTGTAGACGTACTTTTTTCCGCGGGGTCATAATTCCGCGGAATCCTAATTTCTGTTTAATCCGCGGGTAGAAAATTACGCGGATTTTCTTAACTGTCACTATATGCCATGCATTTATATAAAGTACGCTTGGACAAATTTCCGCGGATTATCTGTGACCGCGTACATAGCGTAAATTAATACCACGCGGAAAAAAAGTACTTCTACAGTATTTTTTTAAAAAAAAAAAAAGTTAAAAATGTACATCAACATTTTTTCCATAGAGGTACTTAACGCACCTTGAAAAAAAATGTTTAAAATAAATTTCTGGGCTTAGATTTTATATTTCTTACGAAAAACCGATAAACTGATTTATTCTCATCGAGAAAGAGAAGACAGGTAAAAGGACCCTCAGCCCATTTCTTTATCTTTCCTACCCAAATATTCCGTTATGTACGGAAGCCATGGAGGGACATTGACTTACTTGTTATGACTTATTTGTTACAACTTGTTTGTTGTGACTTAATTATTATAATTTACTTGTTATAAGTTGAAAATAAGTGTAACGTTGCTATGTAGAACTTGAAGTTTAACTTAAAAATGATATGTATAACTATACGATATGGTTTTAATTGATTAATTGTACATATTTGAAATTTAATATCTAATACAATCGTGACTACTTAATCCTTATCGGTTGATAATTTTTTGTTATAACTTAATTTTAATTTGCTAAATGTAATAGCTTGCTACTTAATAGTTGTAACTTAATTTTCATTTGTAACTTCCAGATTGCATAGTTATTGAACACATGAGTATAACTACCATCTTATCTTGTCGTTAGTAATTCATTCAATTTTAAAGTATTTCTTTTTTCTTTTCTGAAACTACACGTAGCCCCATTTCTCACGCTAAGTTTTTGGTTTAAATAAATTTGTGATAACAAAAATAAAATAGCTCTTAGCATAAATAACAATATGATCGATCGTTTTATACTAGGATATACATGTATGATATAGGCATGCAAGTTTGCCTTCTAAAGGATTTAATCATGGAACCACAGGGGAACTCAAGAAGGCTCCAGACCCCCTGTCGTCCTCTGCAAAGTTTCAATTCCACCCTAGCTACGTCTCCAGGATCGTGACATAAAGGAAACTCAAGTCTAAGACCATGCTTAAGAATCACTTAAGTACAATTGTTTACTAAAGATAGTAACAATAAGCGTGCTAAGATTTGGCAATCTTAACAAAACTTAGGCGGCCGGTAGTGATGATTTAAGAATGTTTGAAGAACATACACAGTAATCATGGATTTGTATATTCAAGATGATGATGTGAAATGCAGTAGACTATGAGACAGAGAAATTGTCGGTGAGGTAGAGAATGATGACTAGAAAGCTCATTCTATACACAAGAGCATGTTCTAAGTAGACCCATTTCTTTAAAAAGGCAAGCCGTGACAAATAAGTTGATGATGCAAAGATTTGAAGAGTCAGAATTTTCCAAACTCCATGGCCTATACAATGCCTTTTTTAGTAAATATAATCTACTGTTAAGTCGGATGATAAATGACAATGATACAAATTGTAAGACCATCCTTTACACACTGAATTGTCTACATTTTTTTCTGTCTGTCCGATACCAAGAGCACATAGCGGGTGTGACCGGTTAACACGGGATGCTTAATACTCCTTTGCACCTGATCTGACCTCTGCTGTTTTTCGTCTGTTTTGGCTCTGCTGTCATTTAATGTTCTCACAAATGTTTAAGCTTGATAAGTTTGATATCTCTATATTTCATTTACACGATTTCATAATTCACATGTTCGTTCCAAGGCCCGACCGCTTTTTTTCCTGTCTTTCACTACAAGCCATGATGTAATTTCTTAAACCACACCTATCGATGAACCTATAGATTTACACAGAAATCAAATTTGTTAGCATTTTACAGATTTATGTCCAAAATTTGAATTTAATGTATTTTTCTATCAACCCACGTATGTACATGTATACGTCATAGACATGAATTACCGGTACTCCTTTTGAGGAATTTTTTTTTTAGACCCGCTTCATCTTTTTTACAAACAGCAACCGTCGGGAATGAAAATGGAACTAATAATTCGTATTTTGTTTTTGTTTTCTTTGTATTTGCAACAGCATTTTCGAGATAAATACAAATAAATCTTCAACTAAACGAGTCAGACTGCATCAAACATTCTTTATTTTTCTTCAAGACATAGATTTTGTTCTGTCTCTAATTCTTTTTGTTCTGTGATTAGTGTGTTTTTGAGTCTGTCTCATCCACGAATCTGGAATAATTGTAGCTTGGAAATTAATATCAAGACAATTTTACAGTATGTATTTCTAAAAGATCTAATACATATAATAATACTTTAAAGGATATTTTATTATGCATTTCCATACCACCGAATTAAAAGTTTAAAGTTAAATTATAATTGTGGTGAATTGTAGTTTACTTACACTGAATCGACATCTTCCATTTCTACATCTTTGCCAAAATTGACAATCTCGATCCTGTGAAATAAAAAATAATCGTATTATCCAGCGTTTAATTTTTACGGTATGATCAAAATCTAGTATACATTAAATATGATGCACAGATAGTTCATTAACTAAAATGTAATTAATTGAAAAATAATCATATCCAGTAAGAACCTAAAGTATAAGAATAGTTCCTGAAAATTCTGTTTCTGACTTGATTTAAGAACAAAGAATAATTAATTCAACTCACTCTATAGCATTCTTGTAGGTCATCTGAAATTTATGAAAATAAAATAAATTAAATTGGCACGAATTGCACAATTATTACGAATTATACAATTATCAATGCAATAAGTCTTATCATTTTTCAATTTTTTCATTTTTTTTTTTTTTTATATTTTTTAAAGTTTTGTTATGTTGTTAGCATATTGTTAAGTAATGTCAGACCTTCTTTATTTGACCCCTGTTTGAGGGATGTAGGGGGTTGAATCGATTGTCTACAAGCATTGTGTACTAAACTCTTTCAGTATCAAAGAAGAGTTTCTCAAACGCATTGCGTTTTCTATATCTAAACGACCGGGAAACAATCCTGATTGAAATTAAATCTAAAGCAATTCAAATGTATTCTAAGGTGTCAAAATTTATTAAGAAAGTTTTCAAAACTGTATGTCCTTCATATATATAACTGATTACATTTATATGTTTGCTTCATTTTTTTAATATATATACTCAGTACTCGTTTTTGATAAGCCTTGACAATTATTTTTGTTTGTATTTTACATATGTACCTCATATACCAGTGGTCTGGTTTTGAGAGATTTGAGAGAATAAAGAGTTGAAGGTCAAATAAGAGGAATTCAATGAAAATATGCCAAACAGCTGGAGAGGCATGTCGAGGATACTTTTGTAGGAATGGTACTCAATTTAAAGAATGTTCTATGACTTTTGAAAATATGAACAAATAATTCCATAGGGAATTGTTTAAGGTCATTAACGAATAAATCAAGATAATTTTAAAATTTAAGAACATGTACAAACCGAGATGTATTCCCCTTTTGCCTCAGCTTTGAAATACAGGTATGTAAATGTAAATTAAGAAAGACTGAGGCAAAATGGGAGTATCTTAAAATACTATTGTAAAAGCAAAAAACCTTGACAATTGATGAATTGCTTGTACAATGTTTAATTACACAGTTAAAAGCATTATTAATTAAAATAACAAATTAAGAAAAATAAAGACAATATTACAGTTAAAGCAAATTGGGAACAAACCCCGAAATAATCAAAGAACAGACACGCAGTTAATCTGAAATAAAGCCTTTTTCAACATTACGGCTTGATTCTATTTATCACGACTGTTATTTAAAGATCAACGAAATTCATGTACAAAAGTAAATAAAATTCCATGTCTTTTGTACGTCAATTTGAGAAGGCTTCCGTTTTGTTGTCCTCGATTATAGATGCAATAGTATTAAAAGGATGGTGATTTTGAAAGCCAAGTATGATTTGAAGTAAAATTTCAATAAAGCGAAAACATCGATATCGATAGATTTTTGAAGGGCAACGCATACACTGTATTAGGTGTTTTCAGATTCTGCGAATGTTGCGTGTTTCAATATATTGCATTTAAGGATCGGTGCCGCGGTTTCTTCTAGAGCACATTTTTAATTAAACATTTAGTTCACCGTAGATTTACTATGCCAATTTTAAACGGGTTATTTTGCATAGTAGTAAATATTTATTAACGCTGACACAATTAATAAATATGATATGATTTATAAAGAAAACTGCAATATGCTAGTAATCAAATTAGTTAGTTCAATTTCAAGTAATTTATTTTTTTGCTTCATACGATACATTAGATTACATACAGTATAGTAATAGCTAAACATATATACAATATTATAAGATATAACAATATGAAAGTGAGCATAATAAATAAACAGCAAGTAAGTAGGATGTGTTTTAACAAGCAATTGTAATTAGTAAAATGTTTCTACTTGTATGTAAAAGGGAGGTGCAATTATTTCAAAGAAGGTGCCCCAATTCGACAATGAATATATCTTTCAATTCAGTTTGGGTTTACTGTGATTTTTTCTTAGAATTTGCATTGTATATATACGGTACATATATTTATAAGAATTAATTCTTGCTTTGTATACATATGCAGAATCTTCTTTTGTTGATTAATCTATAATCTTTGTATCAACATATACGACAACATATTGAAAGTTTCATTTTAATGTTATTTCTTACCTTGAACACATACACCATTCTGACATCTTTCTCTTGGATTAGTGCAAGGATTCCACTATTTAACAAAGATCAAATGTCATTAAATAAGAAACATGTTTTACTCATTTTGAGGGGTTTTATAATTTTTAATTGTGATAAGATATTCCCTTTTATTTCTAAAATAAAAAATATATACATGTATTTAAAATAATAGTTACCGGTTCTTGGCAAGGTTGATTTCCTGAAATAAAAAAAATCCCATTAACCATTGTATTTAAAAAATATTACATGTACGAATGAGTCAAAAATAATCATCAATGATTAAGCTATGAATAAATAAAGAAATCTGCCATGTACCTCAAAAGCAAATTTCATTTCTTGCATTAAAATTTTATCCAGTAGTAAAATAATAAAATGTTTGCACATGTATAAATAACAGACGGGTGCAACAATTTCTTAGAAGTTGCCCAAATGATATAATAAATTAATATATGTAATATAATAAATACTACTTAATTAATACATGTATATTTCAGCATATTTTGTGAAAGGAACATTCACATAATTTGTAAACAAGTGCAGAACGGTTTTTAATGGTAAACGTAAATCTCTTATCTTTATATGATCTCTTACAACATTTTAAAAGTTTCAATGTGATTCATACCTCTAACACATCTACCATTTTGACATATATCTCGAGGATCACGGCATGGCTTCAACTGTTTAACAAAGAACAAAGAATCATTGAATAAGAGTAATGTTTCAAACATTGTTTAGATACATATATATAATATCATCATTTAGATTGGTTTTCTTTTTTCTTTATAATAAACAGAAATATACATGAATTTAAAATAACAGTTACCCAGGAACAAGTCTCCTGATTCACTGAAATGGAAGAAAGCACATCATACATTAGCGTATAAAACGTATTACACGTGGTAAACACGTGTATCTTATCATTTATAATGAGGACAGCTTTTTTAATAAAAACATTAAATGTTTTTAAAAGAAAATTGTATGGATTTTATGGATACTTATGGTTTTTTGTTTGATTATTTTTTATGATTCACTTGACAAGCCTCTCCCAAATGCGAGGTCCTCTTTATTCCTGTCTCACCACCTGTGCGCATGTGCACAGGATAACGTCAGTCTCCATAAACATTTTTAACAATCTACTGATGATTGTTTAAAGTATGTGAAAACATATCTTGGTTGCTTCGTCACTTATTAATTAATAAATGACCATTCAATTCCAACGTTAAATTTTTATTTGTGTCAAACAGAGCACCGCCATATCAGGTATCTATAAAATTCTTCAGTTGTAAGTTTTTCCCTGTTGTATATTACCATCAAATGCAATTATTTTATATAAGATCTCCCAATACCATCATAAATTTATACTGAAATTGCAGATTAGTGTAATAACGAATTTTCTCAACTACGAGGGTTGATCCAAAAGTAAAGTTACAACTTTAATAAAATTGCTATATATCGACGTAAAGCAACAAAATTATACATGATGGAAGCTTTATTTATTTTAAATCAGACCTGAAAAATCCAAAGGAATATGATGTATACTTTCCAAATTATCATATTTTAAACAATATGCGTTTTTTCTAGTCCCCGCACCTAAACTTAACGTCATATGACGGATATGCACCGTCATACTTTTAAACGTTTCCCCTTCTTTATTAAAAATATTGTGATTCGCAAACCCTTTAACCAATTCCACTTTCTTTAAGAATTCTTGGTACCATTATACACTCACTCTTTTCGTAATTAAGCCCGCTGTCAAAATTTTTTGGACAGTAGCATAAGACAAATTTAAAAATTCACATATCACTCTATACGTTTGTCTATTTCGACAACGTCAGACACCATTGAAGGTTTCCGTCTGATCTCCTATCTCCTATGCTTATCATTCAGTGACCAATCACCTGCCCAAAATTACTGAAACCGTTTACATTCTTTATTCTATAAGTCTGATTGATTAACGTAACTGTCGCTTGTGATGATTTCCATATTTTGAAGCAAAAAATATAATGCATTGCAACTCGTCGAGCCGTTTTTTTTCCCATTTCGAAAATCCCTTTGTTCAATTCAACAAAGTAAAATAATAATATTTATGATCACAAATACATGTGCTGTCATTTTATTTTCAATTAAAGACTAGAAAATGACGAGAATTGTTCTTTGTCTTTTAAAAAATTAGGAGATTAGCTGCTTTTTTTAGAACCTTTTTAATGTGTTTGTCTTTTTTCTTCTTAGAAAAAATACTCTTTAAAACGTGACGTTCCGTTGTGACGCGGCGACACCCCCTACGCTCTATGTTTTAAACATCTATAAAATAAATTCAAATAAACATTATTAAATCAAAATTTCAATGTTAATTAGATTCATATTCGTGCATCTTTCGACATTTTGTATTTGATAATATGACGCAAAATATAAAGGATATGGACACTGTGACATTACTTTTGGATCAACCCTCCTGTGTATCGGCTAGTGCTAATAATGAATGTGTATGTACTTATGCAGAACGATTTTATTGGTATATCTGTAATTTTTGTTCATATCTTTTACAGCATTTTAAAAAATTCACGTATTCATACCTGGAACACATACACCATCTTGGCATTCATGTTGTGGATCACGACATGGGCTGCTCTATTTAACAAAGAACAAAACTTACTGATATTGTTATAATTTTGATATAAACAACACTTCAATACGCAAGTTTCGAGATTATCTCCATTGGTGCGCTCTTTCGTTGAGGAGGGGAGTTTGGTTGCCGTGTAAAAAACAGGTGGGACAGATATTTCTTATTGGATATATCGCATCATTGATATACTGGTTTATCGTAACTAAATAATTGTAAGGATGCACTGTTCAACTCGAGAATAACCGAATTCAAGTAAAGGTGTCATTTTTAAAGCAAAAAAATCGGAACAAAAAAGAAAATTCAGTGGATGTGAGACTTTTCAGACGAGGGAAGAGATATATGGACCTCTAATAAATACGGTAAACATGAATCTGATCATTACATGTCGGCAATCTAAATGACACATTGATTTTTTACCTTCTTATAACTTCAAAAAACCCACTTACTTTTTAGAGAATGTTTGTACAATCAAGAAAATCTTTTACTTTTTATAAAGACCACGACGTTTATTTCGTTTTCAAGTACCCTATAATTGAATTTAGATATGTAAATATACACAATTCAGCTTGATAAAATCATAAACGCAACAATGCTTAACATTTTTATCTTTCTATAACATTAAATAAATTTTAAAAGCCATAAACATCGTGCATTTATTTATGCACGTTTGTATACATAAACAAACTGTCCCACCTCCATGTTGAAATGGATACTTTTTGCGCCTCTATCGCAGGAGAGTTACAATCTCGAAACTCGCGTATTACTCTTGAAAATGATTTATTTTTCCTTAGCTCGCTACGTTACTGGAGATCGCGTTTTCGTATCAACGACCGCGACTGACCTAAGTCGATAAAAATAGGTAGCAACTGTTCCTTCGCCAAGCGCTCGGCACTTTGCACAAAGTAAAAGTTGCAGCTCATTCGGATGAGCCCTTATAAACCGAAATCTCGTGTCACAGTAGGCGTTAGCACTACAAAGAACCCTCCTGTTCTAAATTTAAAAAAACCCTTTACCAGTATATGGTGACACCATATATTGTCAATCAATCGGTCTTTTTTTTTAAATACACGTAAATTAAAGAATACAAGTATTGCAAATAAGAGATAACTTACCGGAGAACAAAATTCAGCTGGATCTTCTGAAATTAAAAAAAATAATCAGGCCGTTAATCAATGTATTTCAGGCATTGTAAGCAGTAATTAGTCACAAGTGACAATACATTATCTATTCATCTAATCATGAATTATAAAGAAAACTAAAATATAACTTCAAAGCAAATATCATATATTGCATTAAGACTTTATCCATTTATAGTTAAGTAAATGCACTTATTTATAACATACAGTTGCAACAATTAATAATAAAGTTTCCAAAGTATACTTTAATTTATATTTCAACCCTTTTTGTGCGAGGAACATTCATATGATTTGTATTGATTTATATGAAATGTAACATGTAAAGAAGTGCAGAACATTTTTTTGATGGTAAATCTCTAATATTTTTTTTATTATCCAATTGATGTAAATTCATACCTCGAACACATCTACCATTTCGACATACATCTCGTGGATCACGGCATGGCCTTCTCTATTTAACAAAGAACAAAACTCATTAGATAGAAATATCAATATAATTTTGATATGAATAATAGTTCATTTACTTGTGTTTTGTTTTCTTTTTCATTTTAGCTCGCCCCGAGATCGGAAGGTCGTGCATTCGAAACACGGTCGTGACTTACGTAAGCCAATAAAAAAGGCAGCAAATGTTCCTGTGCCAAGCGCTTGGCACTGAGACCTTAAAACCTGAGGCTCCGTGTCACAGTAGGCTTTGGTACGATAAAAAAAACCCTCCTGTTCAATGGTCCTGAGTACCGAATAAAGGTCTAAATTTGAAGTCCTTCACCAGAATATGGTGATATCTCTTCATGCGCGAAAAATTCTCATAAGGCACGTAAAACTGCATACATTACCAATCAATCAATCAATCTATTATCTATTTTGTTTGAAATAAATCATTATGGAAGAATACAAGTATTGCCAATAAGAGATTACTTACCGGAGAACAAAATTCTGGAACGTCTGAAATAAAAAAAAACTCGTTAATCATTGATTTTATGCATTGTAAGTAGTAGAGAGTCAACACTGACAATATCTTTTAATTTAATCATGTATTATGAGGAAAACTAAAATTTAACTCCAAATCAAATATCATCTATTGCATTACAACATTATCCAATTCTAGTAAAATGTTTGCATTTAAAAAAACAAACAAACAAATACAACAAATTATAAGAAAGTATCTAGATCACACACCTACATGTGAACCCAATTATTGCGAGGAATATTTATATTATATAATTTGTATTGATTTGTACTAAATGTAAAATGTATAGAGGAACAGAACAGTTGTTATGGTAATTCTCTAATCCTTTTTTATTATATCTTGCAACATTTTGAAAGTTTCAATGTAATTCATACCTCGAACACATCTACCATTTCGACAAACATCTCGTGGATCACGGCATGGCTCATACTGTTTAACAAAGAACCAAACTTATTAAATAGGAATATTAATATAATTTTGATATAAGTCACAGTTCATTTAAATTTACTTGTGTTTTGTTTTCTTTTATTATTTTATCTCGCCCCGTGATTGGAAGGTTGTGCATTCGAATCACGGCCACGACTGGAGTTAGTCAATAAAAAGGGAAGCAACTGTTTCTTTTTCAAGCACTTGGCACTGAGACCTTAAAAACCGAGACCCCGTGTCACAGTAGGCGTTGGCACTATAGAGAACCATCCTACTCAATGGTCCTGAGTATCGAATAAAGGTCTAAATTTGAAATTCTTGACCCGTACATGTTTGTGGTGACATCTCTATATTGAGCGAAAATTTCTCAAACGGCACGTAAAACAGCATGAATTGTCAATCAATCGATCAATCTATCTATTTTTCTTTAAAATAAATCATTATATGGAAGAATACAGGTATTGTCAATAAGAGAAAACTTACTATAGAACAATATTCTTGATCTTCTGAAATCATTTAAAAAACAGTCCGTTAATCATTGAAATTAAGGCATTGTACGTAATAAAGAGTCACAAGTGACAATACCTATTAATTTAATTATAAATTATGAAGAAAACTAACATTTAACTCCAAAGCAAATATTATCTATTGTATTAAAACATTGTCCAATTATAGTAAAATGTTTGCACTTATTATTTAACAGACAGTTGCAACAATTTGTAAGAAAGTATCGACATTATACACCAAATGTAACACGTATAGAAGTTCAGAACAGTTTTTTTTATGGTAAATATCTTGTTTTTTTTAATCTCTTACAGCATTTCGAAAGTTTAAATCTAATTCATACCTCGAACACATTTACGATTTCGACATACATCTCGTGGATCACGGCATGGCATCAACTGTTTAACAGAGAACAGAATCATTGCATAAGAGTAATATTTAAATCGTTTTACATATATAAAACATCGTAATCATTTAAGGAATCACTGTATATTTAGTATAATAAAAATGTAGACATAGATTTAAATTACATGAGGACTCCCATGCCAATTTCAATAGTCATCACAACTGACGTCAAACACAAAGGTAATCGCACGAGATTTACATGCATATTTGACCTCCTTAGTGTCAGACACAGGGACAGATGCGCACGCGACATTTGCATGCATATTAGGCCTCCTTAGCTCCTGACCTATCGACCTGCCTTATTTACATTCCGGTAGAATTATCAAGAAATCAACTCCGCTAACTTTCAAAGAGTTATCACGGACAAAGAAATTTAGAAATGGAAATATATTGTGACTAGTTTTCTTTTTTCTTCTGAATAGAAGAATAAATGAATTTACAATAAAACTTACGAAGGAACAAGTCTGCTGATTTCCTAAAATGGAAGTAACACTTCATGAATAAGTTTATAAAACACATTACACATTAGCTAGTAGTATGTTATCATTAACAATTATAACATATAATACCTAAAATGCTATATTATTTATCTAAAGAAAATGTTACTCCTTGCAGTAAAGTTATCTAATTGGAATTTTTATCTGATGTATATTAACATGAACTACGATAATTTAAAAAAATGCCCCAAGAGATTATAGATACATGTATATACAAAATTTTATATTAGAGTAATAGGAATTTTCTCATCATATGTATTAATAATCACTAATAATATGTTTCTTGGGACATATTTTTCCTGCGAGTTATTTCCCTTTGCCTTTATCTTGGAGGTCAGACAAGTGAATTTTCTTCTTTGAGCAACCGATTTTAAAGATGTATTTTATTAAATAAACGATAACAAATCTTTACAATATTAAAAGTATGAATTTAGCTCTAACAACGTTATTTGTGAGAAAAGCAGTGTTACCTACACCCCAATACGCACTATGACGAGTTAAATTTGTTTGAATAATGAAGGAATCTGGACCTGTTGACCTCCAATATGGCGACCAACAGGGAATAACTCTTACTAAATTTATGTCTATCGAAAACGTTTTGTTGTTTACACATGCAGAACGTTTTTTGATGATAAACAGTGATGTAGTGTAATCTTTTTAATCGTATTTTAAAGTCTCAGTGTATTTCATACCTGGAACGCATCTTCCTCCTTGACATTCATGTCGTGGATCAGGACACGGCCTATACTATTTAGCAAAGAACAAATCTCATTCAGTAGGAATAATATGAAAATCATTTTGAGATAAACACCATAATTTATTTGTGATCTTTTGTTAAATGATAGAAAATGAGTATTTTAAATTAAAGTTACCGGTATCAAAGAACATTGTTGTAATTGACCTGAAATTAAAGAAATCAGTGAAAGTGCTTATGAATCGAAGATACTGTAGAAGTACTTTTTTCCACGTGGTATTAATTTACGCTATGTACGCAGTCACAAATTTTACGCGGAAATTTGTCCCATCGAACTTAATACAAATATATGGCATATAAAGAAAGGCTTAAGATATCTGCTTAATTTTCAACCAGCGGATTAAACAGAAATAGAGATTCCGTGAAATTATGATCCCATGGAAAAAAGTACGTGTACAGTAATTATAAGCAAAAAATGATAGAAAATAAATTCTACAATAAAAACATCTTTCACAATAAAACATTTTACAATTATGTTTTCACTCAAATTGGAAGATGCAGGAATTCCCTAGAGAGTGTCCAAATAGAAAACTTAATTTCTATAAGAATTCCATTCATTGTATTTGGGAATTTTCCATATATTTTATAATAATCAGCACTTTAGCCTTCTTGTGGATAAACAAAAACACAGACTGAATTTTCTAACAAATCTGAAAACGTTGTCTTTACTAGTATTTCAAACTGCATTCTGAAATTTTAATATATTTCATACTTCTAACACATCTCCCATCTTGACACTCATATCTTGGATCACGGCATGGATTATTCTAAAACGAAAAGCAAATCTTATATCTTATATCGTAGACCTCACTCAATAGCAATAATATACCGTATAAGTAGAATGAATTATAGACAGTAATACTTTTCTATTTACCATTTTAAAATGCAATAATATAATGTACATTTACCGAACTATGACGTCATTAATGACATTTACTATGACGTCATAGACGCTATAACGTTATGTTATACTTGTTGAGTTTCAAATAAACCACTATACGGTTCAGATGTGTTTTCTATGAGTGCTACAATCTTGACATTGGTGCCGTGACGAAAGAGGAGAGATGACTTCTAAACTGAAGGCAGTAAGAGCAGGACAGAGAAGTGCTGTAACCAGACTTCTAAAAAGACTAGATGAAGAAAATGAAGATGCAGAGGAAATTGAGGCTATTTTGGAGACATTAACGGACAAACAGGAAATTCTTAGAGATCTGGATGAGAAAATTCTAACAGAAACAGCAGAGGAGGACATTGAGAGAGAAATACTGGAGACAGATGAGTACAATTTCAATCTTAATTCTAAAATGAGAAAATTTAAGAAACATCTGATAGTTCATCGTTCAAATTTGAATCCATCAGCCAACATTTATTCAAATCAGAATGAAAATTCACAAATTGAAGAGAATAGTCAATCAAGACAAAATTTCAGTGAAAATTCAAGAGCTCATCAGTCCCTTACAAGCATTCATTCAAATCCAAACAGTGGTAACTTTCACAAACTTCCGAAATTAAACTTACCCATTTTTGAGGGAAATGTGTTGGAGTGGCAGTCATTCTGGGATTCATTCGATTCGGCTATTCATAGCAACAACACGTTGACAGAAGTTCAAAAGTTTAATTACTTAAAGTCTTTAGTAGCAGAAGAGGCATCGAACACCATTTCAGGATTTGCACTCACACATGCAAACTACAACAGAGCGATTGAGCTTCTACATGAAAGGTTTGGACAAAAACACAAGATAACTCAGTCTTACATGCAAGCGCTCTTGGACCTACCCACTCCCAAGAATAATCTCACAAGCCTGCGTCATTTTCATGACCAAGTGGAGACATACGTCAGAGGTTTAGAATCCTACGGACAAGCTCAAGATACATACGGTTCTCTTCTAGTACCTGTGATTCTGAACAAATTACCTACTGAAATACGCAAGAATTTGGCACGTGAACATGGCTCTACTGATTGGTTACTAGGTGATTTGAGAAACAGTCTTTACAGGGAACTCGAAATATTAGAAGCTGGAGCAGGTATTGATGCAACAGAACCAAGCGCAACATCAACCTTTTATACCCATTCAAAGTCCAGTCATAAGCAAGTTCAACACAACTTCAGTCCAAGGAAACCTCAGGTATGCTGTGCATATTGTAAGGAGCCGCATTATTCAAATGATTGTACAAAGTACAAAAACTGCACTGACCGCATGAAAATTGTCAAACGAGACAAGTTATGCTTTAACTGTTTGGGCCGACATCGTGTTACAGACTGCCAATCCAAATCAAATTGCAAAGTCTGCAAAAAACGACATCACACAAGTTTGTGTTCAAATCGTGAGGTAGTCAAAAGCAACAAGGACAGTACCCCTTCACTTCAAGCAAAAAATACAGAAAGAGCAGAAACGTCAGTGATGCATTCATCTTCACATAGAGATCAACCAAACGTTTTGTTACAAACTGCAGTTGCACCTGTCACATCTGGAAAACTGACAACTGATGCTAATATTCTGTTCGACGAAGGAGCTCAAAGATCATTTATCTCTAGGAGTTTGGCTGACAAGATAGAATTAACACCAACAGGATATGAGAATATCAACATTCTTGGATTTGGAGAATCAGGAAAAGAGAAAGGAGTTCAAAAGTTGCAGACAGCTGTAGTCAAGGTCCAAACTATACAGAGAGAAGAAATACCTGTCAAAGTCTTAGTGGTCCCAGAGATAGCAGCTCCAATTAAAACGCATGTAGAAAATGCAGCAAAATTATCGTATTTGAGGAATTTGAGATTGGCACATCCTGTTGCACAAGAGGAGGCATTCCAAATTGAATTACTTATTGGAGCAGATCAGTACTGGAATTTGGTGGAGGATAAGATAATTAGAGGAAAGGGTCCAACTGCCATTAAATCTAAACTTGGATATTTACTGTCTGGACCATTATATGGATCACAATCCCATGCACTTGAATACAACACATCAATGATGAATGTTATGGTGTCACACAAAATGGAGGAGCACAATATTGAGAAGTTTTGGCAGATTGAGGCAATTGGAACTGAGAAAGAGTATGAGGAATCAAGTAATCAGAACTTTCAGCTATCATATCAGAAGGATTCCATACGATTTCAAGACAATCGGTACCATGTAAAGCTTCCATGGAAAGAGGACCATCCTGCATTGCCCTTAAACAAAAATAAAGCTTACCGTAGAACAGTCGGTGTTATAAATCGCCTCAAAATGGAACCGGAAATGCTGATCAAATATGGGGAAATAATTGCTGAACAGGAAAAACGCGGATTCATAGAAAAGATAGACAGCGAAGTTCCAACAAATCGTAAAGTTCACTTCATACCACATTTTCCAGTAAAGAAGGATTCAGCTACAACTCCTGTAAGGATAGTATACGATTGTAGCTGTCACGAAACACCTACTGCTGCATCTCTGAACGATTGTTTGATGAACATCCCACCACAACTGAATGATATTGCGTCAATATTACTGAGATTTCGTCTCAACGGATATGCAGTGACAACAGACATAGAAAAAGCATTTTTGAACGTAGGATTAGAAGAGGAAGACCGAGATGTTACGAGATTCTTCTGGTTTGATGAACCTACAAATCCTAACGGAACGTTAGTGAACTACAGATTTAAATCTGTTTTATTCGGAGCTACTTGTTCCCCTTTCATTTTGAATGCTGTTCTGATGAAGCATTTAAAGGAGAACGCATCTACATGGACACAGAAGTTAACAGAAAATCTTTATGTTGACAACATTATTTCCAGTTTTCCAACAGAAAATGAATTAATTTCATTCTACAACTGCTCTCGCACTTTGTTTGCCAAAGCTGGATTTAACCTTCGATCATGGGGATCAAACAGTGAAATCCTACAAGAGCATGCTAAGAAGGATGGAGTGTTTGACAAGGACAGTATTGTCAAAGTACTAGGAATGAAATGGAACGTCAAAGAGGATGTTCTAACCTTTGCAAAACAAGAAATAGCCAACACAGGAAGAAACAGTTTGACAAAGAGAGAAGTGCTAAAACAATCTTCAAAAATATATGATCCTTTAGGATATATCAGCCCGATAACTGTCAAGGCGAAGATGTTTATTCAAGAGTTGTGGAAAAAGAACCTAGAATGGGATCAGCACCTACCAAAGGAACTAGCTGACAAGTGGATTGAAATTGCACAAAACACAGAAAATGCCACCTCCCTGGAAATACCCCGTATGTGTATCCGTGAAAACCCATCAGAAACGACTGTACACATATTCAGTGATGCAAGCATGAAGGCCTATGGAGCATGTGCATACATTGTTTCAGGAGACCAAAGTTCACTTATTATGGCCAAAAACAGAGTTGCGCCATTAAAAACACTTACAATACCTAAACTGGAATTGATGGGAGCATTACTTGGAGCAAGATTATTAGAATTCATCAAGAAAAACATCCAATTCTCAGAAGCGGTCTTATGGACAGACAGTCAAATTGTCCTGAGCTGGTTGGAAACAACAAAAACTTTGGGCACATTTGTGAGAAACAGAATACAAGAAATCAAGAAGTTAACTGAACAGTACAAATGGAGGTACTGTCCAACAGCCTCAAATCCTGCTGATATTTTATCTCGCGGTGCTGACTTTGACAAATTTAGGAAGAACGAATTGTGGTCAAAAGGACCAACTTGGATTACTGACAAAAACATGTGGCCCATATATGACAAAACCGAAAGTCATGTTCTTGCAAACATAACAGAATCTGAGAAATGTGGATACCAGGAGGAGGACTCACAAGACAAGAAAGATGTACAGCCTGATCCCAGAGAACAAAAAATTTCAGAAATTATTGACATCTCGAAGTTTAACAATTACAGAAATTTGTTAAACGTTACTTCTTATGTCCTAAGATTCATACAAAATTGTTCCAAAGGACAGAAAGTTACAGGTCCGCTGACTGTCTCAGAAATTGAACACAGCTCCCTGATGTGGATTAAAAATGCTCAACAAGAAAACTATCCAGATATTTTTGTAGAACTACAAAAAGATGGAAAATCTAAACATTGTCTATCAAAACAGCTGAAATTATACTTAGACAATGAGGATCTGATCCGATGTGGAGGGAGAATACACAATGCACCAATCAGCAAAACAGCAAAGCATCCAATACTCCTAGCAACCAAAGATCCACTGACCACTTTGATTGTTTTAGATGCACATAGAAGAAATTTGCACTCAGGAGTCAATAGTACAGTCACATTGTTGAGACAGAATTACTGGATACAAAGAATTCGTCAGAGTGTAAAATCTGTATTGCGAAAATGCATTACATGTAGAAAAATCATGGGAAAACCTTATCCCATTCCAGAAGCACCACCGTTACCTAAAGACAGATGAGAGAAGAACCTCCTTTTACTGTAACTGGTGTGGATTTCACTGGTGCCCTGAAGATACGAAAAAAGAATGGACAGGAAGGCAAAGTATACATATGTCTTTTCACTTGTGCTAGTACAAGAGCTGTCCATCTGGAACTGGTAACAGACCTCACTGAAGAACAATTTATTCTAGCCTTTCGGAGATTTTCCAGCAGGAAATCACTTCCAAAAATTATGATATCTGACAACGCAACCACATATGTTGCTTCTTCTAAGGAAATCAAAAAGTTAACATCTTCACACAGTCTTCAAGAAACCTTAAACACCCATGGTACAAGATGGAAATTCATACCTAAGAGAGCACCCTGGTACGGAGGCTTCTGGGAACGACTAATAGGACTTACAAAGAACTGCTTAAGGAAAGTACTAGGGCGATCCTTTGTAAATTTAGATGTCCTGAACACAATCATCGTAGAAATTGAATGCATTTTGAATGACCGTCCTCTGACCTATGCATCAGCCGACCCATTGGACGAAGATCCCCTAACACCCTCTCATCTACTATATGGAAGGAAAATCAAGTCATTACCTTATCCTGGGAGTTCCAGTGAAGAAAATGGAACAACTGATTTGAACCATGTATCTGCGAATGAAACTTACAATATTCAACAAAAAGTCATTCAACACTTTTGGCAACGTTGGAGAAAGGAATACTTAACCTCCTTAAGAGAATATCATCGCAGCCACGGAGAAAGCAAACAAAATATCAAGACCGGAGACATCGTTCAAATTTTTGATGAATTCAACCCAAGAAATCTGTGGAAACTGGCAAAGATTGAGGAGCTTATTTCCGGCCAAGATGGACTTATAAGATCTGTTTTATTAAAGACCAGGAATGGTATAACTTCTAGGCCAATTACAAAACTGTATCCATTAGAATTAAATTCTGGGGATGATGACAAACATTCAATACCGACAAAGGATCGTGAGGCAAAACTGAAAGCTATTGAGCAGATTTCCAGTCATTCTAAGTGAAATAATCTAATTTTTGATATGACATTGTAAATAACTTTTTAAAAAGAAATCAATGCATTTTTTAGCTAAAAAAAACCGCGTCTGATATTTTCAGTCCAAAGACTTTATTCTATACTTTTGTGGGCCGGAGAATGTCATGAATTATAGACAGTAATACTTTTCTATTTACATTTTAATGCAATAATATTAATGACATTTACCGAACTATGACGTCATAGTACTATGACGTCATAGACGTTGCTATAACGTTATGTTATATACTTGTTGAGTTTCAAATAAACCACTATACGGTTCAGATGTGTTTTCTATGAGTGCTACAATCTTGACAAATCGTATGAATTTAAAAAGAAGAGTTACCCAGGAGCAAAATTGTTGATCTCCTAAAATTGAAAAAAAAAAAAACTACATTAAACATTGTATTAGAACAACTACAAATGGTAATAAGTCGTTGGTAATTATTGAAAATAAAGTCATACATTGGTTAACAAATATTTTATCCCTAAAGAAAATATGTTCTCTTCCAATAAAAACTTCCACAACATTATTGTTCTGCTCCTATATAACAAGTAGGAGCAAGAATTTGTAGGTGTAGATATTAGATGTTGTCTGTTCTACGTAAAGGTTACAGGCCAAAAACTGTCCATTCTGTGAGAGGAAAGGACTATTAGAGGGCCTTTAGGCCCGACAATTGTTCTTTTTCTCACAGAATGGACAGTTTAGGGCCTATAACCTACTTAAAACATTTACCAAATTGTGTTCATAATGTATATCTCTCAGAACTTTTTCTCATCCATTGTACTAAGTAAGCATTGTCTACTTCTTGGACTGTCTCAGGTAAAGGTTGTTTATAATCAAAAGATTCTTATACTTGTAATTGTTAATTTAGCGAACAATTAAAGATAAGTACAGTTTTTAAATAACTGACTAAATAATATTTTATCACAAGGCATGAGATCCCAATGCCATTTAGCTGTGATTGTGCATATTAAAAGTATGTCTTATTCCGAAGGAGGAAGATTATTTTTGATGCAAAACAAATTCAGATATAAAGAGCAATGCATGTGTCATTCTCAAGTGATATTTTGAATCTGGAGCCTAGGATTGTCAAAAAAATTAACGTTTTTACTGAAGAGTGTGTTTAAATATTATTACACTTTGGAACGCTAAGTAAATATAAGCTTTCAGTATTGAAAGATGTAACAACTGTTTTTACTGGAATTCTTAAATAAATCTTAAAAAAAAAAATAGCTAAAATTTTTGCTTTTTTTCAACGAATACACGTTGAGAATTGTTTGATGCAATATTTTTTCGATATATGTCACGAATCTTCGAAATATGTTATTACAATCATTTTCCTGATCTTACCATGAAAAAAATATTTGAATGTGTTTTCAAGTAGCAAAGTCCATTTGCAAGGAGGCAATCGACCGATTGCACGATTATTTAACTTACCATCTTCCGACCGACAAAAATTATTCACACAGCGCTGACCACGTGGACACGTAGATTGACCCAAAATCTATAAAATTATAAACGGTACCTCATTATCATAAAAAAATTACACAATATGAAACTTATAAAAGATAAAACTTAGTGAATAAGTCATTTTATAGGTCATTTGTTTCTGCACATGTTGACAACGGGACTATAACAGGAAATCAAGCGAAACTTTTTACTTACGTTTACACATGGTATCCCGGAGATTTGTTGTCGTTGTCCAAAGACACTAACAGTGGATCCCAAGAACAAGGCGATAACCAAATACCACATCTCTATTTTAAAGAGATTTATAAGGATGAAGTACAGGTAAAATATAATAGATAACTTATTATGAACATTATAATTTATTCCGTCTATTACAGTAATAGTTAGCTAAAGCTAAGGTATGGGCGATTCCGATGCAAATGAGCTAACTGAAACAATTTTAAAGAGGTGTGTCAAAGAAAGTGACTTTTAGTTCCGCTCTCAGTAATACATGTATATGCAGTGTCCATGCCATGTTATAGCCCATGTACATGTATATCATGACGATATTGTTCTTTACCAATCTAAATAAAGAAAAAAAAACATCGGCTCCAGGGTAAATTTTCTTTACCATCCCATCATGGTTTTTATTTACCAAAGTGACCTGAAAGTTCAACTGAGAATGATTGATTTATTGTACGTTGTTCTACGCCCCGTTCGAGAAATGATTCTTTAATCACATTTTTTTCTGTCGTGCGTCAGCATTCGTGTGTTGTCTGTAAACCTTGAACATTTTCGACTTCTTCTCCAGAACCACTTGGCTGATTTCAAGCAAACTAACCACAAACGATCCTTGTGTCAGGGGAATTCAAGTCATTTAAATGAACGGCCACACCCTCTTTCAAAGGAAGATTATTGAGGATTAGTGAAAATATGGTGACATTTTAAAAAAAAATGTTTTATTTTGTATCTTTATGTGACAACCTTACCAAATGTGAAAATGAGAAAAATTAAAATATAGGAAGCATTTCAAGAAATATGCATATACAGGGACTATCATAATATATGCTACATTTTTAGAATTAAATATCTCTTCTTTGTTCATTTTTAATACAATAATGTTCTCTTATATAATTGAGAAAAAAATTTTGTTAAGAAACAATATTTTAACTAAAAATATTGGGTTCATGACATACACTAAAAGTGGAATTTAACATTTAGTAAAGTTTAATTTAACATAACTATTTTATTAAATGACAATACACCCTGCTTTCTAATGATATTCATGGATAGCCTCCCATTAATTTTATATGCTTTCTGTTGTCTTCGGATGTTTAAAATTACTGCTATTGAAAATAGAAAGCTTATTTAAGCCATGTTTATATTACCAAGGGATTGTTAAAACTGCATGGCGACTTTTCTGAAACACAGGATATTTCTCCATCTGCTTTGTATTAAATGATACAAATTATTAAAAAAGAAGAGGAATTCACTTTAGGAAACATTCACATATCCAAGAAGGTTCGGATATTTGCTCAATAAAAACACAGAAAGTGTAGGAAAATGGAGTTTTATTATTGACCGTACCACCTCCATCCCTCTGCCGAATTCTTTTGAAAGTACAGGAAGCGGCAATATTCAAAGAATGATACCAATATCCAGTAAGAGTTATACAGGATGAACTCTGTCAATCCGTTGACTGAAAGGTCACCGAAAATCTACTGAAAGGTGACTGAAAGGTCATTGAAAGTCTACTGATAGGTGACTGAAAGATCACTGACAGTCTATTGATAGGTGAATGAAAGGTCATTGAAAGTCTACTGATATGTAACTGAAAGGTCATTGAGAGTCTACTGAAAGTTGACCGAAATGTCATTGAAAGTATACCAAAAGGTGACTGAAAGGTCATTGAAAGTCTACTGATAGGTGACTGAATGTCTACTGACAGGTGACTGAATGACTACTGATACGTGACAGAATTGAAGTCTACTGACAGGTGACTGAATATCTGCTGATAGGTGACTGAATGGCATATATCATTTAGTGACTGTTCCAGACCTTTCAGTTTACCATTCAGTTGACTTAATGGTGTTAGAACTTCAAGAACTGAAGATTTCCCGCCTGAAGTAGGGACTTTAATAGGCTTGCAAACTCCAAAAAAAGTGTCAAATTGATGATTTTTCTTAATCTACATGCTAGTTATAGCTATCCCTTTTACCATGGATTCAAATCAAAATTAACTCTTTAGAAATATTTTCAATTGAGCTGATATTTAATAAGCATTGCATGAAACATAGATGATTGGAATATTTTGCTTCTCGTCATACATATTTCTGTAAAAAATTAAAAAAGGCTTGTGCCGAAGGTTGAATTCTTTTTTCCGTGTAATAAGAAATAATGACATCATCATATGGATTTTATAGAACTTAATAAATGTACATGTAGCTAATTTCTATTAGATAGAAGTAGAACCCATACCAAGCCTTAAATCACTTGTGTAATTCATTTTCGATATACTCTGTGGCAACGCACTTTGAAAATATTACGTACATTGAAAATTTTTTTCAAAGTGCGTTAAAATTGGGAAAAATCAACGCACTTTAAAAAAAAATTCAAAGTGCGTTAAGGGTGTACATAAACATTTTTTACCATGGGAATATTTAACGCACTTTGAAAAAAATAGGTGTAAAACAATAACCATAGACTAAGATTTTAGTAATTGAGAGAATCAATTTGTATTAATTATATCTTTCGAAAAACTTTTTAAATTTACATGTACCCATTTAACCTCATTGGGATCAAGGAGAAGATGAGTAGAAGGTCTCTCAGGCCAACTCTTTTTTCTTATACATTGTACATAGCCGTTGGTAGCAAATTGAAAGTGGAACCCATCCCCCGCCCCACTCCACCCCCAAAAGGTAAGCCCCAATTTTCAATGCTTATACATGTGTATAATGTATATCTTTGCAAAACATTTGTGTGCCTAAGACCCCCACCCGGTACGTTGACGATGCCTTTGCTACAACCAAATATATGTATTTGCATAACTGGTATGACGTTGAAAACTTTCAATAAATTTTATTTTACATAAAATGCATGCAAAATGGAAAAATTAAGTACAGTAAAACATTTAAGAGAGAAAGAATTTTCAAAGTTTGAAAAAATCAAAATTGCTCACTTTCACATCCTATAGTGACCTCATCACCGAAGAGTTTTCAAACAGGTTCAATTATTTATCATACCTTAGATTTGCAAGAATATCAACAATACAATTTTTTTAATTGTGTTAATATGATCGATATTAACGCACTTTGTAAAAGAAATTTTATTTTTTCAAAGCGTTGGTCCCAAATTTAACGCACTTTGAAATTTTTTTTCAAAGTGCGTAATTTTTCAAAGTGCGTTGTTACATTGTACAATGCTCCCTTACTATTATGTATATCTCTCAGCAACATTCAAATAATCGAACGAAAATAAATTACGTACATGTAAAGCATTATTAACAGAAAAAAAGGATGTGGAATTGAAGCAATGTAAACTTGTACATGAACAACACAAAATAATGGGAAAATACAGAATAAGAATGGAAAATTATTATAATAAATTAATACAAATAAAGATTTTGCTATACTATAAATTATAAGATGCAAATGAAAATATATAGAAATCAAATAGAAAATTAAACTAAACAAAAGATAAATTATTTAAAACAAATGGAAAAAATCGAATATTGCAACTTTTGACATGTTATATACAATCACGATCAAGCTCCTTTAGTTGTATTAAATGTGCCATATGAATTCAAAAAGTCATATTCTTTCAATTATCTTCTGAAACAAAAGTTAGTCAATTACGAACGAGCAAAAGATAAACAATTTTAGAACAGAGACTAAATTCATTAACTTTGAAAATTTAAGTTTTCATCATATTATAATGTGGTATTTCCGACAAAGAATAAATTGGAGAAAATATAAATAATTCTAATTAGTATGTAGTCTCTTATTTTATCGGTTGCTTAAAGACTGTATCCCTTCGAATTCCCTCCGTGGTATTTCCGACAAAGAATAAATTGGAGAAAATATAAATAATTCTATAGTATGTAGTCTCTTATTTTATCGGTTGCTTAAAAATTGTATCCCTTCCCTCCGAACAAATTGATGCAAATGATGTCTTTTTAGACTAATAAACGGATTATTCATGCAAATAAGATATTTCCCTACCTTAACAAAATAGTGATGTCAGTTATTAAACTACATCTATATAGTAAGGACGTAGCGTTAAAACGTTACCTTTTTCTTATAGATTCCACGATGTTTCACATACTGAGAAATTGCTGTCTTTTATACCTTATTCGATCTGCAAAAACTAAAACGACCCTTGAATTAATTTTGATACATCATGAGTTCCACTTGCAGGTTTGACATATTACATAATCGACATGCAGATCTACGATTTTTCTAAATTAATTTGGAAATTCCTGTATCTAATCAAGTCCATGTAATGTCTAAACTCTTCCTTAAATCTTCTCCTGTTCTTGATTTACGGGTCACAGAAATATATTTTTAATATTTTCGTTTTGATTTTTTTTTTAGGTTTTATTAATTTTTAATATCTTAAATAAGATCTTTTTTTTTCTATTTTAGGGAGCATTGATAATTAAATAAAGTATTAATAAGTAACAGAAATAACCAGATGTTTCTCATTTATAATTATATATTTGGAGTGTCTGAACGTATGATTCTTATCTAATTTACTGCACTATTCTCTTAAAATATCATATTTGTTATAAAGAACTGAATCTGGTTATTTTATTTCAAAAATATAGAAGTGTAGACTATAGCCTCTGTTCTTGTTCACAATAAAACAATATAAGGTGTTCCCTGACTTTGCAGACCCAACACGGTCAACCCTACTAATGTGTTCGGAACCTTTTATTTTTCGGTGTTCTGTACCTTACAAAACCTGATGAGTTCAGAGTAGCTCTGACAGTGGCTCTGGCGAGAGCTAGCGAAACTTCAGCGAGATAGGGTAAATTATTCACGGAAATGTGGCTAGGAAATGAACTAGCACGTGGAGACATTGTAAACAGAAAAATTATGTTGTGTTTTAGTTTTCACCACCCTATAATATAATTCTGTAGAAATGTACTTCAATTGATCTTTCTTGAATCCATTCAAGTTAAAATTATTTTTAAGTATTCTCTATGATACAATTTTCTGCTGTCATGAATTAAAATTTCTTTTTAGACAAATATTTTGCATGGGAACCGGGACTATATGTTTTGGCGTCAGATTAGCAAATAAGGCACGTGCACCAATGTGATTTTAACTGACAAATCAGAATTGCATTATGGGTTACTATACGAATACTACAGGAATTTTACGCTTGATAAATTCCTTTAATGTACTATCGGTGAATACAATTGCCAGGTGGATTTCCTGGCCAACACACGTGAACACGAGTATAGTTATGTAAAGAATGTTTTGTCCATTTAAATGCATACGAGAAGCTGCTCGTTTTCCTTACCCTTGAAGTGCTGGTGTTCTGAACTTGACAAGAACTATACGTATACATTTTATTAAACATGTTTTTCTCTTGTTAACAACAAATTAAAAACGCCTGTAATATTTTTCATAGTTTCTAATGTTTGCATTTTGTTCATAAGAACATTTTTTTTTAATTTTTCACTCCGTTGACATGATCATAGACTGACCTGAACCACGTGTTCGAAGTAACATGTTAACATGTATTTGGCGTAAACGTATTCAATCAACAATTAATTGGTCAGTTGCTCGTGGTAAGATCCTCTGTGCGCATTAATAGCAATAGCCATATAAGGCAAACAAAGGTTTGTCAGTGTAGATGATA